ACGTCAGCGGCCTCGCCCGAGCTGGGGGGCGGTCCAGCGCCAGGGTGGCCACCAGCGGGTGGGGCTGCACCAGGCGTGGCGCTGGCTTGGCCGTCGTCGCCCTTGCGCTTCTTCTGGTAGCGTGCCTCGCGCGCCTGCCGCACGGCTGTGGCACGGCTGATGAGCTCCTGCACCTGGGGGCCCTTGGTGGCGAACTGCTGCTTGAGCTCCTCGAGCCCCTTCTTGACGGCGTTGAGCTCCTGCTGCTCAGTGTCGGTGAAATCGAGCTCCTCGATCTGCTGGAAGAGCGTGGGGTCCCACGAGACTGTGAAAGGAGCCTCGGGTGGGTGGTCGGGCTTGCTGGCGGAGTCCTTGGCGCCATCTGGGTGTCCGACTCCTTCAGCGCGTGCCAGGGCCTGGGCAGCCTTGCGCTTGGCGGCCTCCGTCTTGGCGACCTCGAGGGCGGCCTCGGCCTCCTTGGCCTCTGCCGTGGACAAGGCCTTGCGGAACCGCACGACGTTGGCCACGACCTGATTGTGATGGTTGACTGCACTGCGCCATGCACCGTCTGCCTTCCGCATGGCCTCGACCTCGCTGACCTGGGGCTCGGCCTCCTGGGCGCCGAGGCGCTGCATCTGAGCAGCAAGGATGGCCTGCAAGGCGGGGTCGGTGGCAGCCGCGAGTGCCTGACGTAGGTGGTTGGCGAGGGCGCCGTTGTCAGCACGCGGCGTCGCCGTCTCGTGGCGAGGGGCGGCTGGCGGCGGCGTGTCAGGGTCGATGATCTCCTCGGGCCCGAACCTCACCTGGCTTGGCGAACGAGAGCGGCCGCGGTGCATGCGCACGGGCCGATTGCACCGTGGGCATGTGGGGGCCTGCGGGTCGAGGCGATCGTTGTACTCGCACGTGTTGCAGCCGCGGCAGCGCGTCCAGGGACGCGGGGAATGATGCCAGGCAGCAGCGCCGCGAGCAGCCTGGCTGGTGCCGCGCGGCGGCGCGCGGGTGCGAGCCATGAGCCCCAGCTTTGGTCGACCGTAAAACCTGCAAGAGAGCGGGTGCACGGAAGTCCCTCAAGCACCTCGCGGAGGTACTGGGGCAGCCCTGGGAAAAGGGGGGGGCCAGGGCCGAAGTGGCTTGAGAGGAGGAGGAGGAGGAGGAGGAGGAGGAGGAGGAGGAGGAGGAGGAGGATGGAGCACGAGGAGGAAAAGAGAAGGAGGGGGGGGAGGAGGGGAGGAGGAGGAGGAGGAGGAGGAGGAGGAGGAGGAGGAGGAGGAGGATGAGGAGGGGAGGAGGGGGGAGTGGTGAGGAGGAGGAGGAAGGAGGAGGAGGAAAAGGTAGGAAAAGGAGAGGAAGAGGTGGAGGAGGAAGAGGAGAGAGGACTAGGACGAGGAGAAGAGGAGGAGGAGGAGGACGAGGAAGGACGGGAGGAGGAAGGGAAAGGGAAAGGGGGGGCAGGAGGAGGAACGGAGGAGAGGAGGAGGATGAGAGGAAGAAGAGGCAGGGGGAGAGGAAGAGGAGAAAAAAGAGGAGGAGGAGGAAAGAGGAGGAGAGGAGGAAGAGGAGGAGGAAGAGGAGGAAAAGAGGAGGAAGGAGGTGGAGGGGGAGGAGGAGGCGGAGGCGGAGGAGAGGAGGAGGAGGGAGGAGTAGGAGGAGGAAAGGAGGAGGAGGAGGGAGGAGGAGGGGGGGGGGCAGGAGGAGGGGGGGAAGGGGAGGGGAAGGAGGAGAGGAGGAGGAGAGAGGAGGAGGAGGGGGATGGGAGGAAGGGGAGGAGTAGGGGAGAGGAGGAAAGAGGAGGAGGAGGAGGAGGAGGAGGAGGAGGAGGAGGGGAGGAGAAGGAAAGGAGAGGATGGAGGGGAGGAGGAGGTAGGAGGGAAGGAGGAGGAGGAGGAGGAGGAGGAGGAGAAGGACTGGACACGCAAGAGCAAGGCTGGGCCTTCCAGCAACGAAGGTTAGAGGGCAGACCCTGCACCACTCAGCGGCACAGGGCTCCTATCCAACCAACATGCCAACCAACAACCCAACCTACAGAGAGCAACCACGACCCGCGGCGGCGCACGAGCGGCATGCTTGCGCGCCGAACCGACGCGCCCTCACACAATCCCCGCATTCAGCCCGACCAGGTTCAGGTGGACCAGCCTTGCTGTTGTTGCTGACGATGTCTGGCACACACTGAAACGTGCAGCACGGAGATCGGCCAGAGCAATACGATGAGCCGTAGGCCCTGCATTCACGGCATGAGCAGCATCTTCAGCGGAGTCACAGAGATCTGAATGCCTCCGCGCAGGCGCTGCGGATGACCATGGATCACGACCACCACTCCAAGGATCACGATCAGAGCCACGATGAGGAGGAAGGGGAGGAGGTGCAGGAGAAAAGGGAGGATGAGGATGATTATGACGATTATGATGATGATGATGATGAGGAGGAGGAGGAGGAGGAGGAGGAGCGGGAGAGGGAGGATGATGAGGAGGAGGAGGAGGAGCAGCAGCAGGATGAGGAGGAGCATGAGCAGGAGGAGCAGGAGGAGGAGGAGGAGGAGGAGGAGGAGGAGGAGGAGGAGGAGAGAGGATGCGGAGGAGGCGGAGGAGGAGGCGGAGGAGGAGGCGGAGGAGGAGGCGGAGGAGGAGGAGAAGGAGGAGCGATCAGGAGCGATCAGATGAAAGGACAGCGTACGTCCACAAACGGCGCCATGGCCATCGGTGACCTGGCCCGCTTGAGGGTTAAAACTGAGGCCACAGTTTTAACCCTCTACAAAAAGGGGAACTGCGGCCGTCGGCGGGCCGCCTCACGCCTGAGGGGAAAAGGAATGCGGGGCACTCCAGATTCCCCCGACCTGGAGGAAGGAGAAAAACTTGTTGATCAGCGCGCACTTGCTGATCGCGTAGCCGAACTCGAGCGCTCCTGGAGAACCCTGACCACGAACTGGCTGCGCAGCTCGTCCGTACACTCCAAACCGATCTCGAGCGCATTCTGCATGGCCGAGTCCACGAGGCAAAGCTCGTACTCCGTCAGGGTCTCGATGACCTTCTCCGCCTCCTTCGCATCAGTCTGTAGGTTGTTACTGTCCTCGGACTGCTCGCGGTACACGCCGAGCAGTTTCGAAGCCTCCTCCATCTTGAGCTGCAGGTCCGTGAACTGTTGCTGCAGCTGCTGAGCCGTCTCGGCCGTGCCCTTCGACAGCTCCTTCAACGGCTTCACCTCGATGTCGGCCGCCACCGAGCCGACCAGGGCGCCGTCCTCGCTCTCGGGCACGTCGGTCGAACTCTCGATGGACGAGTTCTTCTTCATCAGGCCCTGCTTCAACTGTGGTCCGGCACTGGCGATGACCTGGCCCGCCGCCGCGGCGAGGCCGGCGCACGCCGGGTGCGCAGTCGCGTTCCGGTACCTGGAGGCTCGCCCCAGCCTGCCCGCCACGGCACGGCCAGGAGCCCCCAGGCTAGACAGGACCTCCTTGGCGTCCTTGACCGTCCGTTCCACGCCCGCGATGTCGCCCACGAGGTTGACGACAGCCTGCACCTCGTCGAGCGGGTCGATCTTGTCCTCTGCGGCCGCCGTAGCCGCGGCGCCTTGAACTGCGCCTCGAACTGCAGCAGCCACGAGCGACGTCAAGCACTTGGTCGAGACGCCCATCTCGATAGCCGCCGAAATGGCACCGAAGGCAGCCCCCGCCGCTGGGCTGCCCGCCAAAACAGCCGCCTGCGTCGAAACCATCGCGCACCGCGAGGCCCCCGCCGCCC